CTAAGACATATTCTTGACAAGCACAAGGATTAAAACAGAATTTAATTCTAAACAGGGAAAATTGCTTATACTGGTCTGAATCCTGCCTCTGCCAATGGGTGGGCTGTTGGTTGGGTGACCTTGGGCAAATCATTTATCCTGTCTTCACGCACTTACCCTCAAGAGTGTGAAGTATATGAGATGGTATGCATGAGCTGCCTAGCCTACATTAAATGCTCAGAAAAGGGCACTGTGTGTTCTTCCCCTTACTGTCTACCCTCCGCTCCACCCAAAATATAAAAAACCTAATCGCGAGGCTGTGGGAAATGAAAATTCCTCTCCAGCTTTTTAGGGCTCTTTCATTCATGCTATCTGCAGCTGGCCAGGATAATGTTCTGGTGATGAGGAGACCTTTCAACGGCAATCAGTTACTAACGCTCCACCCTGGCTCCCGGGCCGCATAGGGAAAGGCTTCCCTGTGGGCTGGGATGTACAGAAGGGTGGAGACTGGCACACACATAGCGCTGGTGGGAAGTCAAATGGGAACTGTTGCTTTGGAGGACAACCTGGCAATGCCGAGCGTGATCCGGCATGTATAAGGCACACTTACCAAACGTGCAAGGAAATAACCTAAATGTTCATAAGTGGATGGATAAATAAATTAACATTTATCCATCTCAAAACTGCAATGCCTAGTGAAAAAGCCAAGAGGTGGAAAGACTGGTTCAATATGGTGATTTCTGTACAATTAAAAAAAATATACAGTAATATATTTGTTTACTGACACTTCTCTGTAATAAAAGGGTAAAAACAGACTTCTAGAACACATCCCAAATCCAAGAGAAGATGGCTTTCCAGGGATGGAGAAGATGGAAGATAAAGATTTCAACCTTAAGTGTAATTTTACTTCTTTTGTTAAAAAATCTGAAGCCAAAATAAGTAAGTAAGTAAGTAAATAAATAAATAAATAAATAAGCAAGCTGTCAATACTTGCTCATTCTGGAGAATGAGAACACTAATGTGTTATTTTCTACTTCTCAATTTTTGGGGGGCTGGGTTACAGAAGACGTATGTTCAGCTTTCACGGATAGTGCCAAACAGTTCTCCGTCATGGTAGCACCGACTCCCACTCCCACCGCATTAGAGAGCTCCTTCACTTCCTCTCCAAGCCCTGACATTGTTAGTTGCCTCGCTCCACTTTTCAAATTTTATAATTAAAAAAAATTTCCATACTGCACATGGGTTCTAGAGCCACCACGACAAACTTGCCTAAAAAATAAACTATTTGTCCTGTTAATGACAAAGGAGGAGGTTACATAGGTCACTATAATCTCTCTCCTCTAAGGGAAATGTGGTAGCAAGCTTCACTTCCGAAACAGTTGAGTGATACAACTCTACCTGTAACCTCAGTCTACAATACCAGCCAGGAAGTGTGCGCACTGAGGGGCAGGGGGAGCTCATGCAGGCCTTTCAGAGCCCCGCAGCAGAACCTCCTCGGGGCTCTTGGCAGCTGTCTGCCTGCCCCGTGCTCCTTGCTGTAGAGAAGCCTAACTCTGCATCTTAAACAGCAAACTATTCACAACAGCCAAGTCATGGAAGCAACCTATGTGTCCACCAACAAACAAATGGATAAAGAGGGTGTGGGGTATTACTCAGCCATAAAAAAGAATGAAATGATGCCTTTTGTAGCAACATGGATGGACCTGAAGATGACAACATTAAGTGAAGTAAGTCAGACAGAGAAAGACAAATATTACATGGTATCACTTATATGTGGAATCTAAAAAATAGTACAAATGAACTTCAAACAAATAGTACAAATGAACTACAAAATAGAAACAGACTCATAGACGTAGAAAACAAACTTATAGTTACCAAAAGGAAAGGCGGGAAGGATAAACTGGGAGTAAGGGATTACCAGATGCACATACCATATACAAAATAGATAAACAACAAGGATTTACTGTATAGCACAGGGAACTATGTTCAATATCTTATAATAGACTATAACGGAAAAGAATTGAAAAAAAAGAATACAGATATATACATGTATATGTATAACCGAATCACTCTGCTGTACACCTAAAACTAACACAATATTGTAAATCAACTATACTTCAATACTTACAAGTGATGGTTAGTTCCTGAAATAGTCACATAAGGATTCCTCAAAATAAGTTCCCTAAGGCCACTTAAAATGTGATTTAATATAGTGGAGGATAACCAACATGAAAATAGTTTGATGTTGCAAGTCTGTAAGCATGGTCACTATGATTAACACGTGACAGTGGCAATGAAAAGGAGAGAAAGGAAAAAGAAATTATGGTGCTGTCTTCTGCCATTAAAGAAATGGCGCTACCCAGTTTCCAAAACCCTGGGACCAAAGAGTTTAAACCAGGGCAGCTGGCAATGGTGGGGAAACAGGCTCCTTCAGTCTCTCTGTACCTCGGTTCCCCCACATGTGACAGGGCCATAAATGGAACCTACCTCACCGAGGCAGCGGGAGGTAAATGAGTGTCAGAGCTTGAAACAGAGACTCATGCGCAGTAAGCTCTCAAAGAACATCAGCTACTATGGAGAGACCAATGTCGACACTCCCCTTGTCAGGAATGAACTTGAAGAAATGCTGTGATGTGTACATTGATACTAGAAAGCAGTAGGAAAATTAGCTTTGTGGGTCAAAGGAGAGAGCAGCATGACTAGCACTGGGTGGAAATCTACGTTAAGAACGTGAAGATGTTGGTCTTTAAAGGATGTGTCTTGAAAGATAAGGGAGAGAATTTTAAATTTTAGCCTAAGATAGAAAGTGAGACTTGACGTGTTAAAAAAAAATAATCATAAGCCCCCAAATGAAAGCCATTAAAGGCAGAGGAGAAAAACGAAAACCTTTGCTAACGCACTTGACGCAATCCACTATAAGTGTCAAGGTGCAGGAGAAATCCCGTAACGTGACAAGCACCTGATTTCTGTGCGGCACGGCGTACAGAGCCTCGCTGAGGCTTCCTTCCTCCTTGCGAGCACTGGCGTCCCCCGACTCCCTGGGGCTGGATGACAGGTGCGTGTCAGTGTCCTCTTCATTCTCGTAGCCCAGCATTTCAAAGGACGGCAAAGAAGATCTCCTTCCCACCTCATTCTGCCAATGTGATCTGTATTGGAACAGTCAAGGGCAAAGCAAATAAGCCCCTTAACACTTCACACTGGTATTCACACAGGGATGCAGTGCGCTGCCTCCAAGCCCCGCCGCGAAGTATTATATAACCACGTTACAAAATACATAGACGCTAAAGGATGAAATCACCCACTATGCCATCCCCTTGTACACTCTTAGCATTTCCTTCTAGCTTTTCACCGAGGTTTTTACAGCTATTATCACTGACTACATGTATAATCTGCCTCCTTGGTAACAAATTTCTACGGTCAAAATGGTAAAAGACTCAAGATAGACACATCAGTTTAGTCAGCCATTCCCTTTACTTAGATCCCCCCTGCCCCCAATTTTCACTGTCATGAATAACCCTGTAATAAACATCAGTGTACAATCTCTTCTGTATTTAGGATCAGTCCCATAAAACAACCAACCATAAGGTGCACTGCTGAGTCAGACGGTAGGAACATTTTGTGGGTCCACGTGCATCCGCACAGAATCATTTCCCCAACCTGTGACTACATTGGTAGTAATTTTCTAAAACTTGCCAAGAGAATGCAAACCTCACTGCATAAATGTGCATTTCTTACTGAGACTGGATATTTTTCTGTATCTTTGTGTGAGCCCTGGTTCCTCTAATGTGAACTGTCTGCTCATGTTTGGTCCACTTAGCTACTCTGCTTCTAGTACGTCCATTCTGATTTAAAATGAACTTTTCTACCTACTGAAATGAAAACCCTGACTTTCTATTTACTGTACATATTTTTCCTATCCTACTGATTTTATTTTGAATTCCAAAAAGGATAAAACGGATGTTCAAAAGGCCATAGTGATATAACCCAAGGGAACTTCTACAGAAAACTCCCTGTCTCTGTTCAGAAAGTTGTATATAGAGTCAAGGTCAGGCTCAAAAGATTAATTAAGAGACACACGACAAACCAATTGAAAGTTACTGTGTGAGTCCTACTGGTATTACACTCGTTTATAGATATGCTCTTTTATAAATGTTGTGTAAATAGTTTTCCACTATCCTCCCTTCTGAAATGCCTAGAGTTTCTTTCTTTCTTTTTTTTCTTTTTGTTTTTATATTTTGTTTCTGTGCATGACTTTGTTTTTTTTTAATTTTATTTTACTTTTTTGTAGGGAGAGTAATTTGGTTTATTTTATTTTTATTTTACTTATTTTTAGTGTTTTTTTTTTAACAGGGGGAAGTAGTCAGGTTTATTCATTTATTTATTTTTAAATGGAGGTACTGGGGACTGAACCCACGACCTCGTGCATCCTAAGCACATGCTCTACCACTGAGCTATCCCCTCCCCCACTGTGTTTTTTTGAATCCACATCTCTCCTCTGTAGTACTGTTAAATGAACATTAAAAAAAGACGATTTTATTAATCCATTGATTGTATTGTGAATTTTGGCTATGTAAATTTTTTTAACATAAAGATGATTAAAAATTTTTTTTTCACTTTTCAAATTCTTAGCTTGGTAAATAGCAGGCATTTCCCTGAGAGGCTCGATGAACCTGGATATAGGGTTTCACAGTCTTCTTTATACGTATATACAAATTAATCCATTCATTCAAAAGGAATTTGTTTGGCCACATGAATTAGACAAGGCTTGAAGCTGATTTTTTTCTATTACTGCTAATCAATAGACTGTTGAGTCCTTTCCTTTCCCTTTGGATCTGTGCTCTCCTCTTATTAAAGATTCAACATACTTGCAAACGCAGGGCACTCACGTGCACCTCCCCGTCACTGACCCAGCGCGCCTCTATTTTAACTACTTCAACTATATGTTTTAAAATATGATGGGGCTAAGGCTGCCCTCCCTGTAAGTCAGTATCCTTCCTTTCCAAACATCCTCTTATGGTCTTATCTGCTGATTCTCTCCAGTGAATTTCAGAATCATTTCTTCATCATCAGTTCTTATTCAGCCAAAGTACGAATTCTTACCAGCAGGAAAACAGGTTACGTTCAAACATCTCAAAATGGAGCTGAGACTAAAATGTAAAAAACCCCAAATGCAAACACATCCTAGAAGGAAATACGCGAGCATTTGTATGATGCTGTAATAGGGGAAATCTTTCTAAATTTGACAATAATGTCAGAAACTACAAAGAAAAGACTGACAGATCTTACTACATAAAACATACAGAACATTTGGTGTGTTAAAGGAAAAAACCCTAAAAGCAAAATTGAATAAACATGGCAGGTAAAAGGCAAATCTGGTCACATATCCCCCATCGCCACCCCACAAGCCCTTAGAGTCCTCAGTGACTTCCCGCTGCTCCCAGGGGAGATACCAAACTTCTAAACCTGACACCAAAGACATCCCCAGCCCGGCCCCCGCCCACTCCTCCAGCCCCATCTTGAATGACTCCCCACCTCACCTGACTCCTCCTGGCCACAGACTTCTTCCTTCAGTTGCTCATGTGTGTCATGCCCCCTCTTCTCTGTCTAGAAAGCTCATCCCAGCTCCACCCTGACCACCCGTCAACCCTCAAGCCATTGCCAGTTGGTTCCTGTACATCCCTCAGCTCTCCCCCAGTGCCCTCTTCCTCAAGAGGAAACCTTCCTGACCCCTGGCCCCGTGTCAGCTCTAATCCAGCTCAAGCGACAGAGAAAATGAAGTTAAATAAGAAGGAAGGGTACAGTATAGGTGACAAGGAAATTACCTTGTCAGAGAGGAGACAGGCGAGAAGCTGTGAATGACAACCCTCGTCATCCAGATTGTGGCTACGAGCAGCATTGAATTCACAGGCTCTAATTTAACAAGATCCACACCAGAGAAAATTCGGATACAACTTAAGAGTGCTTAATGTCCCGGGGCAGTGCCCCTTTGTCACTGGCGAGGAAAGCTCTGATCACAACCACATGCACATGCACACGCACACACGGAGCTACTCCTCCCCGGCCCTGCGAGCAAGCTGAGCCTGTGACACAGTCCTTACTGATGCCTCAGCTCCGAGATGGTGGCATAGGGCTCGATGAAACTGTCCTTTTCAACGCAGGTCATGTCACTCTCAGAGTGGACCCTCCGGCGAGGTTGGGGAATGGCGACGGTCCGGCCAGTCAACGTTGTTGCTAGAATGGCTGCGGCAAGAGCGGATCTACGGACGAAAGCAACCCAGTGAGCCGGTGAGACATAACCCGTCCCGCTGAAGGCTGAACACCAGGACGCACGAACCATCAAGGTTTACCTTCAGTTCTACAGTGTCCGGGGCGCACCTCCTGACTACGGGCCTGTTATGCGCCACCTGATAATCTCACTTCATCCTCATATCAACGGTCTGAATAGATATTATTGTCATCTCCATTTTTCAAAGAAATGAAATGACTTGTCTAAGATTTCCTAGTGAATAGGGGATGAAACCAGGTCTGTAATCCAGACAGTCTACATTCAAGTAGTTTTCCTATTAAAATAAAAGATCAGAATGGAAAAAAAGAGAGAAGGGAAAAGGCAGTTTAAAATCTTGCAGATTATTCAAAATTATGATATAGGAAAAGACAGAGTAATGGGTTTACCCTCCCGCCTGAGAAGGCAAAATAAACAACAGACCTACCGTTGTCCCCGCTTACTGCCAGAGAGAATTTCCAGGTCACAGCACAGGGAGGAGGAAATGAGGTGGAGCTGGGCAGACTCCCTGAGTTGTAGAGATGGAGCGGAGAGTCCGGGACCACCAAGGCAGAGTGAATTTGTAGGACAGGGTACCAGAAAAGAGAGCTGAACAGAGAGAACTCCAGAAATCAGCAGAAGGCCCCTCAGTGCACCGAGGACACTACCCAACACTGGGGACTGAAGGAACAGTGCCAGGTGCTTACACATGGCTGGGGACCGTGCCAGTTCCCACCAGACGATGGGAAAACATTATAATTCACGGGACACTGGGTACAGTTCTCCGAAAGCAGTGGAGAATAAACCGCCCTAGATTGAACACTGCTCCAGACTCCGCCTCACAAATCATAAAAGCAAGATCCAAAAGGTTAAATTGGTTCCCAGTCATTTTAACTGCATCCCAGAACAAAATTCACGAAGACTTAGAGGAATATGAAAATGTCCGGCACTTGACAAGGTAAAACTAACAACAGTGTCTCGTATGCCATCAAAGATAACCAGGCATGCAAAGAGACAGAAAAACAGGACCCATAATGAAGAGAATAATCAATTAAAACCCATTCAGAACTGAACACATGCTGGAATGAGTAGAAAAGGACATTAAGACAGTTATTATAATTGTGTTCCATACATTCAAAAAGTTAGGTGGAAACATGGAAGATTATAAAGAAGACTTGAATCTGGGGAGATAAAAATTATAATGAATGGGATTAACAGTAGGTTACACATGGCAGAAGAAAAGGTTAGTGAAACTGAAGGCAAAACAATAGAAAATAATCAAAATGAAATAGGAAAAAAAACTAAAAAAAAGAGTATAGTAAGATATGAGATAAAAAATGCTACTGTTTTATGTTTTAAGCCACTAAGTTTTGGTGTAATTAGTTACATGGGAATAGATAACTGTCATCAAATGGTGCTGGAACAATTGGATACCCATAAGAAAAAAAAAATGAACTTCAATCCATACTTCCCACATCCTACACAAAATTAACCAAAATGCATCATAGACCTACATGTAAAGGCTACAACTATCAACCTTCTAGAAGCAAATACAGGAGAAAATGCTTTATGACCTTGGATGAGGCAAAGATTTCCTAGATATGATACTGAAATCATGATCAGTTAAAAAAAAAGTTGACAAGTTGAACTTCATAAAAATTATGATTTTCTGCTAAAAGATATCATTAAGAAAATGAAAAGCCACAGATGGGGAAAAATATTTGCAAATCACATATTTGATAAAGAACTTGTATCTAGGATATAGAAAGAACTCTCTGAATACAGTAACCCGGGAACACAACCCAATTTTTTAAAGTGGGCCAAAGATCTGGATAGATTATTTTACCAAAAAAAGATATACAGTGGCAAATAAGCACATGAAAAGATGTTCAACACCATTAGTCAGTTACTAGAGAAGTGCAAAATAAAACCATAAAGATACCACTACATGCCTATTAGAATGTCCAAAATTTAAGACTGGCCAAGCCAATCCCTTTTCAACCTGGGCCCAGCAGAATGGCTCCCAGAAAGAAGAGTAATGAGAAGGGGCCATTCTGCCGTCACTGAGGTTGTGACCAGAGAGGACCCCAAAAATCTAGGGAGTGAGCTTCGAGAAAGGTGCCCCCTGGGTGCTGGAAGAGATCCAGAAATATGCTAGGAGACTGAGACGACCTACAGATGTGCACATGGACTCCAGGCTCAACACAGCTGTCTGGGCCAAAGGAATAAGGAATGTCCCACACTTTATCAGTATAAGGTTGTCCTGAAAGTGTAGTGAGGATGAGGATTCACCAGACAAGCTCTATACATTGTTACCTATGCACTTGTCACCACTTTCAAAAATCTATGGACAGTCAATGTGAATGAGAACTAAGGGCTAACTGTCAAATAAAGTTATAAAACTGCACACGTGCACGCATGCACACACACGCACACACACACAGAGACTGACCAAACCAAGTGTTGGTGAGGATGTGAAGAAACTGGAACTTGTACACTGCAGGTGGGAACATAAATGGAATTACAACTCTGGAAAACAGTTTGGTAGCTTCTTAATAGGTTAAATATATCCCTGTTATGACCCACTATTCCACGCCTAGATACTTACCCACAAGAAATGAAAGCACAGGTCCACAGACTGTGCACAAGTGTTCCTAGCAGCCTTATTTCTAGTAGCCAAAAAACTAGAAACAGCCCAAATATCCATCAAAGGTGAATGGATAGACAAACACTGGCATGTTCATAAACTGGAACACTACTCAGGAACTGTGAGGATGAATTACTGATTTTCACAACAATATGGATGAACCTCAAAACAATTATGCTGAGTGAAGAAAGCCAGCATAATTATTTTGTGTAATTCCATTTATTTAAAAGTCTAGAAATGTAGACTAATTTACAGGGATAGAAAGCAGACCGGTGGTTATGTGGGAGGGGGTGAGGGTGGGCTGGGCTGAGGTGGGAAATGACAGAGGTGGGCAGGGGAGAGGAATGACAAAGGGCCATGAGGAAACTTGAGGGGATGACAGATACGTATGTTATCTTGACTGTGGAGATGGCTTCACGGGTATAAACATATATCAAAACGTACCAAATTATTCACTTTAAATATGTACAGTTTATTATATGTCCATTACATCTCAATAAAACTGATTTGAAAAGATAAAAGACTGTCGAAAGCAAAAATAATAACCATATATCGTGGGGTTTATAACATACAGAATTCAAGTGTCTGACAACAGCAGCAAAGGATGAGAAGGAGGACACGAGTAATTGCTGGGAGATTCCTTTTTTTTCCTCAAATTTTAATGGAATTTATTTCTGGAATACTTGCCGTGGGATAGACTGTCATAATAGTTTATATCTTCAAAAATACATTAAGGGGTTTATATCTTTGATCCAGATCTAGAGATCCGTTAAACCAAAGAAATGACTCGCCATAAGCTATGAAAAAAATATATATATTTTGCTAATGTTTATTTATTTATGTTATTTATTTTTATTGAGGTTCAGTCAATTACAATGTGTCAATTTCTGCTGCACAGCACAATGTCCCACTCTTGTGTATACATACATATATTCGTTTTCGTATTTTTTCCACTAAAGGTTATTACAAGATGCTGTGAGATTCTTACACTCACACTAGATATGAAGTAGAATAATATCAGAGATTAATTTGAATGTTAGTTTTTAGAATAAAATAACCTAGAAATACACCAAATTTGCCAAAGCCATATTGATTATTTGGGGCTTATAAAGATAGCAATCCAGCACACATTGTAAAATGATTATAAATCAATAAAAAATGTTAAAAAAAAAGATAGCAATCCAGGAATATTTTTGTAAAACACAGGAGACTATGGAAATTTTCCAATGAGTCTACAGCACGCTTGCTGTGGGACGATATGGGTTTTTGTCTGTTTTCTGCTTTATAATGGGATGTAAAGCAAACCCTCTCACCACTGCTGCCACATAGGATATTTAAGTTCTAGTGACATAATTTAAGAACGGTTCACACAAACACTGAAGGGCTGGACAGACCTACAGGTGCATTGCAGCGATGCCATCACCTGCCAGCTGTGAGACTCTGGGCCAATGACTAACACTTGAGCTCAAAACAGAGATGCCAACGGGGCCTGTCTCACAGGATCACTGAGAGGATGAAATGAAATAAAGCTTCGTAAGCACTTACCAGAGTCCTTGGCACAGAGTAATCACTAGTAAATTGCTATTCTTGTTTTCAAGATCATACTGGGGGGAGGCGGGACAGCTCAGTGGTACAGCACGTGCTTATCATGCACGAGGTCCTGGGTTCAATCCCCAGTACTTCCATTTAAAAAATAATAATAATAAAATAAATAAATAAACCTAATTGTCCTCCCCACCCCTCAAAAAAAGATGATACTGACGGAAAAAAACAACACTAAAAATATTTCGAAGTGTTTATTATTAGGAAGCACACAATATTCCAGCTTCAAAGAACACTAAAAAGAAGGTGCCATCTTTGAATGAAACTATTTCTCATTGTTAATAGTTAAGCCATGTATCCATGTACTTTATGGATAAACAATAGTCTAAAATTCTCTGGCTTCTAAAATCTTGGAGGACAGAGGCAGGGGTCTCATGTATAAAAGAAAGTCAGGTCCCTGTGTGTCAGGAGCACTGGAGGATGGGGAATCCCAGGCCCGGGCAAGTGAACACATTTCTTCCTTCCTTCCTGGAAAACAGTTCTTCTAAAAGGCATTCTTGTGTTTAAAAAGAAAACTATGTGCACAATTCAAATTCCTTTTGTCATACTATCAACTTAAACATTTGGGTTGTAATGCTTTATATTTTGAAAAAGTGCATTCAGTTATGAAATGTGAGAACTCCATAGACCTGAAAGGAACACACCATTATGCCACAGAGAAACTGTAGTAAGTGCTTCATTATGGAACCATGACACATTTCAAAGGACATGATTCTAATCAGCCTACTTGTGATTTTCTTACCCGTTAGAACAATTCCGGGACCCAGCACTTGGTGGTTGAGCACAGGGGTGACTTCAGTGCCTAGTCACCTGAGACTCACCTTGGTTTCTCTGGAGAGGGGTTGGGGCTGCGCGGAGGAGGTGTGCGGGGCACAGCTGGCTTCGGTGCGATGCTGGCTGCAGGGAGAAGGCCACGGATGATGTGTTTCTGCACAAAGGAAACCCAGCAGAGGTCAATGGTATATGGCATCATTGCTGGGTCCTGTCACCACCCCTCTCCAGGCTGGGGAGGGACACTGGCCACCTGGGGATCTAGTCCCACCAGAAGACCCATTCTTGCCCCTGCCATCCTCAATCCACATCTGGCCAGGCAAGCTCTCCACTCGAGGAGTGCCACACAGCTGCCCACAGAAGGGAAACTGCTTCCCTGACCATCCCTCAGAGCCCTCTAGCACCTTACTTGTCTCAGAGCACTGCCCTCGATGACCCTACTCACTCATTTGCCGCCCCTCTGCAGAATGGAAATTTTCTCTTTTTTTAGTTGAAGTATAGTCAGTTACAATGTGTCAATTTCTGGTGTACAGCACAATGTTTCAGTCATATGTATATATATACATATATTTGTTTTCATACTCTTTTCATCAGAAGCTTTCTGAGAGCAAACTACCTTCTTGTCTTAAACAGCCCTGGAACTCTGGCACTTAGCACAGGGCCCAACACCTGGTAGAGGCTTAATCAGGATTTTAGGTAGTTTATCTCAAAGATGCAGAGTAACAAAAACTAGCTTCTACACACAATGAAAGTTGGAGGACCCTGCTTTGGCCCTCAGAAGTTTCTGAGTCCAGCCCAATCTTCACTTTCTGTGCACCAACCATTCATTTGCACCTACTAGAGACAAAAGGCTACAGCAGCAGTGAAGAGACCTTGTCCTCACCCTCAAGAAGGAAGGATAGAGAGGGAAACACCCAGATATTTATCATACAACACAGAATTATGGAAAGTGCCAAGGGAGAGGAAAAGACAAAGTGCCAAAGTGGCCCAGGGAGGGAAGGGCTCCTTCAGGTCCAGGGGCCAGCAAGGGGACCTCTAATGTCCCATTGGAGAAAATCTCAGAGCATTTAGATCAGGTCATCAAAGATGGCCAGTGCTCTCACATTTGGGAAATGTGATGGAAAAGCATTCCAGGAGGAGGGAACAGCATGAACAAAGGAATGAAGCAAGACATTAGTGGCAGTGTTCTGGAAACAAGTACTCTGGTTTGCTGGAATACAGAGGCATCTGAGATAGAAGGGCTAGAACAAGGGGCGGGGGTCAAATGGGGACTGTTTCCATTTAAGAGTTCTGATAACAAACTAAGGACATCTTGTGACCTAGTGAGAAGCACCCACTGAAACTGGCCTGAAAAAGACTAATCAGGCAGGGGTAGGCATAGGGTACAGGGGGAAAGGGAGGCGCAGCCAAGGGGAAGTCAGCCAGGGGTCTGGACCTCCTTCAGGAGTGAAGGATGAGTAGATCTTCCAAATGTCTCCTGCAGCCCTCCCATGCCCTACCCTAGTTCCACGTGCATGGCCAACCCCAAGAGCAGATATTCCAGAGCAGTCGCTGCTGTATCCCACCATTCTCCAGTTGTCTGCCAACTCCCCTACCCTGCCAGATGCTCAAGGACAAGAAAGGCTTTTCTTCACCTTTGAATCCCCAGGGGCTGGCATCCAGGAGGTCCTCTAAAAAGGCCTCATGAATTTTGTTTTGTTTTGTTTTGTTTTTTGATAGTATGCTGAACTTTTCTCACCTGTACCATGATAACCATTTCCTAACTATGGTTCTTCTGCCTCTGTCTCTAAAACACAGGATGATCCTATCTCAACCCAGCATGAAAACTCTCTGGTTGGCAGATGTATGTTTTCTCGTGACACAGAAGGCTGCTAAGGCTGCTATCAGTTGGTTTCTACCAATGGCCCCAGATTCATTTCCAGCTGACCCTCCTCATCCCTACTCATATCTCCACGTAGGACACTCAGAATTGCCTTCCCGTTCCCATGCCACAAAAGATTCCTTCTTTGTCAGGCCTTTGGATACGCTGTTTTCCCCACCAGAATTCTCTTTCCTTACTCCTCCCAAGGCCCAGGTCCACTCTCTGAGCTGACTTTGCTGCCCTCCCCTGGGCACTTCTTGACTTAGCACTTTGTGCTGACTGACTTATAGGTTTGTCTACCCTTTAGCCAGCGTGGCCATAGGCCATCCATCAATTGTGGTTATCTGGCACACCCACCGTACGAACACAATAATGCAGTAAAAACCTCAATAAACATGCTGACTGAACTAGCATAACTGCAATGGAAAAATGTGCTTCAGCTATGCCTTCATTATTTCTCAACATCCACTTATCTAAAAGGATTTCAGCATGTCAGAGAGGCTGAGAACAGGAAGACAAGTGAAGCACGCTTTCTGATCCCAATTTGAAACAGAGTTCAGGAGCATCCTTATCAAAATGCTTTCTCTGCATTTAACGTATTAAATGTATGGAGAACTGGATGTAAGTAGGTTTGGGGTTTTACCAGGCAAATATGGAAAAGGGAGACAGGAGCAAGGACACTGGGGAATGGTTATAATGACAGACCCTGGAATTAGAAGTTTGGGCTGGGAAAGAGAGCAACGAGGACATTGGTAGGACCACCTGACTGGGGAGGGGAAGGTGTCAACAAATTGTAGGTGTCAGGATAGTAGAGGAAATGAGTAGCTCACTAGTAGGAGGAGGGGTCAGAATGAGACCAGGAGTATGTATAGGCCTGCTGTGACTGAGTGGCCATGGGAAGGTTTGGAAGGAAGCATTCCAGGCAGAAGGAATGGCAAAGGTAAAGGCCTGATGTAACAGAAGACAGATGGGAAAAGCTGGAGAGTCGTGCACGTGAGTTGGGGGCACTGGCCATAATCAGATTTGCGTTTTAAAAGAATCCCTTTGGCTGCTTTGTGGAGAACGGACCTAGCGGAAGGACAGGAGTGGAGACTGAGAAAAAGGGAGAAACAGCTGCAGCAGTCCAGGTAGATGCTGGAGGCCAGGGTAAGGGCGAGGACAGCTGCCAATTGCCTTTGATGCATAGCATCTATGGAACTTGCTGGTGGGGTGTACGCGGTGGGTGGCAGAGGGAGGAATCAAGAATGACTTTCCACTGGGGGATATCACTCAGTGGAGCAGGTTTACGCCGCCAGGGGTGAGCTCCCCGACACCAGAGATAATATTACTGGGGAGACAGTCCTATCCAATTAGGATTCTTCAGAAGACGAAAACTAAGGGCTTCTCTATCTCTGGGATAGAGGATTCTTTAGAACACGAAGCCGACCCTGGGATAGAGGATTCTTTAGAACACGGAAACTAAGGGCTACTCTAACGGAAAACCCCTTCCTCTTGAGCCGCTACCTTGCCTCTATCCCAAATCCCGACCCCTCCCCACTTAACTCCCGACCGCACGGGCCAGAGAGCAGTCAGTCTACTTACAAACTGCCTCTTGCGGCCTCTCTGGAATCCCAGGAGCATCCTTGCTGCGGAAGGCGGCCAGACCCCGACTGGACTGCCAAGTAGATCTCAGAGCGGAGGACCACTCTCTAAAGTCTGGCTCCTCCAGCTGGCCTTGCCCCAAACGCCGATGCTACTCAATCAAGGGACTTAGCAACAACCACGTCTACCGTTAGCTCTGCTTTCCGCCTGACCAATCAGAGCCAAGGTTACTTCACACCCGTCGCTCTTGGCAACCAGCGGGTCTCATTCAAACACTCTCCGGGGCGGAAACTGTGCGCGCTGTCCATCCTTTTATTGGCCAGATCAGGTGTCGATCTCCAAGGCCATAGCCTATCCGGCGCCGGGAGAGGCGGAGGGCGGGCAGGATGAAGGACCCGGCGAGAGCGCAGGAAGGAACCCGGAAGTGGCGCGCCGCAGGTAATGTCGCCGGACCCCTTGGGCTGGGGCCGAAGTGGGGCCCCGGCCGGCTCGGCCTCCACCCTGGATTGGACTGAGCCAACACGGCGCGGACCGAGCAGGGGGGTGTCAGGGGCCAGGCAGGTGGCGGAAATGAGGGACGCGGCTACCAGGACAGGAATCTCCTTGTTCTTAGCCTTTGGCCGATAATCCAGTCTTTTCAAGAACACTCTTCAGACAGGCTCCTGCCAGAGGCCCGAGCTCGGAGGGGAGTGTGGGGCCTTGTGCCGGAGAGCCTACTCAAGCGCCGTCTTGCATTCCTCTCATTAGATCGAGGCCGCCGATGGAAGGGAACGCCGCTGATGGCACAGGCCCCATGTACGTGCCATTTGGGCACATTGTGGCCAATGAGAAATGGCGCGGATCGCATCTGGCACAAGAAATGCAAGGTCGGTGGGCTTCCTCCACACCAGCCCTCTGTCACCCCACCCCACTTTTAAAAAACGTTTCACCTATTGCCGTCTTTTCAGCCAAAGCTCAGGGAACTTACTTTCTTGTCTGTATTTTAAGGGAAAATTAAACTCGTTTTTGAGGATGGCCTGGCACCGGTAGATTTTTACTTGTCTAGCAGATCCTGCATTCTTTATGTCACCGAAGCGGATTTGGTAGCAGGAAATGGCTACAGAAAGAGACTTGTTCGGGTTAGAAATGTAAGTGCTTAGTTAAAGAAACTGAAAATGAAAATTGACTTTTATCTCTTGGAATAATTTATGTAAAACCATTGACCATTCCAAGCACTCTTGGATAGCTTCTTCATCTTAAATGGAATTTTGTTACAAAATAGTTTCTTGCCTTTTTTTTTTTTGAAGTCCGGTAAACTTCAAGGGATTGTAGTGGTTGAAAAAACGCAGATGAGTGAACAGTACTTTCCAGCCATGCAGAAATTTACTGTGCTGGATCTTGGGATGGTGTTGCTTCCAGTGGCCAGCCAGATGGAAGCGTCCTGCCTCCTCATCCAGTTAGTAAGTACTGATTCCTACTCCCCAGTAGCTCTGTTTTCTGACTCTTGACTGACCTTCCTGGATCCTTCTCTGGCAGCTACTCTTACTGTAGGTGCATTGTGTCAGATTGATCTATATCAGTCTCTGGGTTGGTTTATAAAAACTTTTTTGAGGAATTTAAGTTCAGAAGTGGCTTCTGCAGCCAGCTGAGCTTGCCCCCTACCCTAGACAAGTATATAATAAAGTGAACAAGTTAGACACCTGATTTTGGCCTCCCAGGCTGTGATGACTCCATCATGCATTATTCCGCACTTACACTAGTGATAATGTTAACTCACAGCTGCCCAGCCTCCTCCCCGCATATCTTTTGTTAAGCATCAGTACTTCTGTCTTCAAGTTTATGTGTTGTGTTCTTTTTAACACTTGGTGTTTCTCTGGAGAGGGTGTAGTTCAAGTGGTAGAGCGCATGGTTAGCATACACAAAGTCCTGGGTTCAATCCCCAGCACTTCCTCTAAAAACAAATAAATAGATCTAATTACCCACCCCAAATAAATAAAATTAAAAAAAAACTTGGTGGTTCTCCACTGTTCTCACTGATTATTTAGTGTGCTTGAACATTAGAATTTCCTGGGGAACTTTTAAAAATACTAATACATGAGCCTTACCTCAGACCAGTTAGAAATCAGAATCTACACAACACTGTAAATCTACTATACTTCAGTTTAAAAAAAAAAATCAGAATGTGGGGGCAGGGCCTAGTCATCAGTTATTGTTGTTGTGTTGTTCTGAACTCTCCCCCTCTGATGTGCAGCTAGGGTTGAGAGGCAATTTGAAAAATGCAAGCAGCCCTGCATGGTTCACAGATCCCTCCATCCCCATGGCTGTCCACCACATCCCTTGCCTTACTCTTCCTAACTCCCCTTGCTATGATGCTATTATCTGCCTTCCTGTATCCACCACTAACTGAAGACTGGGTTTTTCCTCCGATAGGCAAGCTTCTTCCAGGTCCTGTATCAAGCTGGTATAGCTGTCATCTAATCCTATACCACTGAAACATTTCTTAGTGGACCACAGGAACATGCTTGAATTCCTCAGTTATCTGTTCATTCATTTTATCCTAAGCTTTCTGAAATCTCAAGTTTTTGTAAATCAATTTTTATCTCTTCCTCCCTGGTGTAGTCACATGGTTCACCTTTCAATAACTCTGCTGATGTCTGAAAAATCATATTCATGGTATATGAAAACATTTGTAGTGATACGTCAAGCTGAACCATCTGGAAAAACTGTATTTCCATAAAACAAGTGTTTATGAAAACTGCCAGTCCTCTAGAGGGCACTCATGTGCTTTTCCTTTCATCTTGGTTCAGGTTCAAGAGCAAGCCAAAGAGCCCAGTAAGAACCCTTTGCTCAGAAAGAAACGGGCTCTGATCTCTGAGCCGGCCCTCCTTCGAACTGTGCAGCAGATCCCAGGAGTCGGAAAAGTTAAAGCCCCGCTGCTGCTTCAGAGGTTTCCAAGTCTCCAGCAGCTGAGTAATGCTTCCATCCAAGAACTGGAGCCAGTGGTCGGACAAGCAGTGGCCCAGCACATTCATGCGTTCTTCACCCAGTCCAGGTGACGGCTCTTCTCCCGGCATCTCCTTTACACCACGGACTACAGGATCTTCTCTTGTTTTCACATTAAGAAAAAAGATTTTCTAGTGAAAGATAGTAAGGCCTGAGTGGAACCTGCCAGCTGTCCCACCCTGCCCCCTGGGCTCAGGCACTTCAGTTAGTGGGCCCCAGGTGGCACTGCCCCCATCCTGCTGGCATGAAGAGGGCTGGTGGGCATCTTTCTAAGGGAATCGATTTAAATAGGGACTCTCAGATTCAGCAGAAAGCCGGCTTGGGCAGACTTTAATGTATGACCATGACCTATATCACGGAAGGTGAAAGATGTGACCGTCTAAAGGAAACAAACCTACAATGAAGCACTGTGCACCATAAGCCCGTTGTTCCTGCTGGCGGAGCCACTGGTTTTCAGGTCTGGTCTTAATACACCTGTGCTTTGAGGGCTGTTGCCAGTGTAAACAAATAATTGTACTGCCTTTCTTCCTTCCTACTCCCTTCCTGATAGCTGCACAGTTTGTTTATAGTCAGTGGGCACAGTCTTCTGAACATGGAAAGCTTGGAGTCTAGAGTTCCCATTTTAAGATAAAAAGCCAGTGTGTGTGAGGGAGGGAAGGCACATGTGTTTATAAATGTACAGCCCAACAATGGGCAGGGACACAGGAAAATGGGAGGGGCAGCCGCATCCAGAGAGGAAAGCCAAGGGCTGGGGTCAGAAGGTATAATAGCCTATTCCAAAAATAAAGATCTTATGTTTTCAAGGATACTGAGGTAACTTGAAAGCCCTTTAAGTTCTGTTTTGTGAAATGTTAGTCATTTCAAAAAATGAAACACAATGAAAAACATTTTGTGCATGAGGGCAAAAATGACTTAAAAGAGGAAATTAAAATGAAATAAAAGTAGAAAACATTAGCTCAGGCAAATGAATGAGTTTATTTAAATATTTATACAAAAGTGGCCCTAAGAGCAGTGGATACACTTTCCCAAATATAGTGGTTTCCCTTTTGATATTACACACTAGAAAACATTTAAGTTCATTCATTCTCAAAATTAGGTATCAATGCTGTTATTTTTTTAAGCTATATAATTTGTACTATGTCAACCGTGAATCTTACCAGAATCACAGTATCATCCAACTTACAGCAAATCAAAAGTCAAATAGAGCTCTAAACTTGAATCATTTACATCTTGACCTTTTAAAATGTTTTTAACCCTTCTTAAAGACTCTTAAAATACAGTTATGTACTTTCTACTTTAAACAAAATGAATAGTGTTTTGAGTATCAAACAGTATATTATCTACCTTGTAGACAGCATCTTCATCTAACACTGCCACTGTGTTAGCGACTTTTTAATGACATAAAGTAGGGGAAATGGTTTTTTATCTAATTAGCCATGACAAATTTGGCACTAGGCTTTATCTGGAAATAGCATTATATTATCTAGAAGTAATAGTAAAATCTTGTTGTTTTAGGTTAATGAATTCCCCCTGGGGAAGCATCCCTTTGGAACAGTTTTTAGTAACACTAATCTGTCATTATAGTCCCTTGGCTTGCCTTAATCTGGGGTCATCTGAATTCTGAGTCAAGAAATTATCTATTACCCAAGTCTGGAAAGTTACAAACAGGACTAATACAGGTAGTCCAAATTTAACTATGATAGTAAGTGACTAAAAGTCATTAAAAACAGCCATACTTTCAAAGTAATTCTATTTACAATACCTTATGTAATAAATAACTTGTAGCAATGTGGTGAGACTCGCCAAATAAGTTTGTTTTCCACAAATATCTAGAGGTTTCTTGTTACTTTCACTCATAAAGACATATCAGTTGTAGGTCTACACTGTGAGAAAATGGGATTTGAGACTATTTAGAAATTTTCCTTTAAGGCACAGATACGGAGGCCCAGTCTGTCCTGGAAACGTCCTAGTTTCCTCACATTAATTAGTACAAGGAGCTGTCGCTGTTGAGAAGGCTGAACGGAGACGGGAGCTTCTTCTTGACCGGAGGCCCCGGGACCCCGACCGACGGGAGGCACAGGGTGCTCACCGACTTCTGTCTGTTCTTGTTGATGCTCCAGCTCAAAAATGAACGCTTTTTTGAGACTTTCTTGTTTTTATCCGTTTTATCATTGTCATCTATGGCTAAGCAGATCATGGAGTAGGTTTTCTGCATTCCCACCGAGAATGTGGCACACTTACTGTGCTGCACATGGAAAAGGAAGGAGAAGGGTGTTAGAAACCCTCAAAGATGTCCGAGAAATGACTGCCAAGTTTTCAGATTCCCATTCCACGCTTACAGCATCCTTTTTAAAACTCAGTTGGTATAATTCCGAAACTCGGTGACTAACGCTTGTAGAATTAGGTTCTTAAAAACAAGGACAGTTTTTAAGGAATGTGCTCAGTAGTCGTGATTTAGGCTAATGACCAGTATCGACTTTTTAAGGTTATATTTATATTTGAAAAAGTAATACATACTTATGGTCAGTAATATGAAAATGCATAAGGTGAAAGGAGGTGTCCCTCCCAGCCCAGCTTTCAGGTCATTCCCCTGAGGTCACCACTGTCTGTTATACTTTAAAGATAACGTCCATACACAGGTATTGATGTGGTGCAGAAGCATGCAGCACCATTTGTCTTTCCTTAAGAATCACACACACACTGGTCTGCACCCTGCTTTCTCCGCTTAACGTATCCTGGATTTCAGCCCCTACCGATAGGTAGAGGTCAACTTCACTCTCTTTAAAGACAGTACAGAATCTATGGTGTCGATGTGATTAACTTTTCCCCATTTTAAAAACTGGTGAAATATACATAAAATTGACCATTAACCATTATTTGACTGTAGTTCAGTGGTATTAAGTACATTCACATTGTTGTGTAACCATCACCGTCATCCACCTGCAGAACTTTTCCATCTTCCCCAAGTGAACTCCATACCCACCAACCACTACCATGAACTTTTAAAGGATCGTGTCGGAGTTAAACAGGAAATGGGAAGGAGGCTGCTTTCTAAACACTTCCACGTAAGTTATCACCTGCTTCTAAGGTGTGCCTAACATTGAGATTACTTTGCTCAAATGTTTACTGACCATCTACCATGTGCCAGGCACTGAAATCAGGCCATATATATAAGTATACATGCACTATATTGAAAGTGGTTGGGCACACTGTTCACAATATAAATCCAGGAGGGGAATTTGGGTGATGCAGCAATAAAGGAGGGGTATTCACTGTAAAATGTCCCTCTTGAGTTTGGCCCCTCTGGATGAAGTTGCCTCTCCTTTTTCTATAAAACTGCCCATTAATCCCACCATGCTCTACCTGACACACATGCTATTATTAAAAACAATAATAAAACAAACAGTCCTGGAGGTAGATTTGATGCCTGCAAACATTTTTCGACTTTAACCTGCTTAGTGTCCATTATGCATCATTAAAACCACTCCCTCATAAATACCCTCGATTCTCTTCCACCAGCAACTGTAAGCCAGGAAATGTCAACTCTATCCTCTGTCTCCCCCAAACCTGCATCCAAAAAGCCACACATTCCTGGAGGATATTTACCAAGCCAACTGGCTTCCCTTGAAATTCTAATGCCGACCCCAAACCTCTACAAGGCACCTCATTACCTGGTGCTCCTACATTTCCCTAGTAACTTTATTCCTTTTCTCCTACATTCCTTCTCTCAAGCCCCTCACGTGCCCTCCTGATACCCTTGCTTTATACAGTCGTGCCCTGATGTCCACGTGGAAGGGCTCCAACATGCCCGGCAGATGCCAAAAGCCATGGATGCTCAAATGCATCATATAAAATGATCCACAGTTCATTGAACCCAAGAATGCAGAACCCGTGGACACGGAGGGCCAACTGTACTTACCTGCATCTGTCTCCAAAGACTTGCCCTCCCGTGTGCCTGGATCTCACGCCCTCTCTCCTCTGGGTATCCCCTCCTTCCTACATTCCTGTCTCCCAAACCTTTCCCATCAGCACACAAGTTCACGGTGCTATCGACACACACACCTTTGAAAAGCGTTCCTCTATGTCCCCCCTCCTAGCTACCAGGGCAATGTCTCTGCTCCCTTCCTCCCGTTCACTTCTTTTCCTGTCCTCATCCAGCATGCTCCCCACTGTCCACTCCCCAAATCTTCCTGGGGTGCCTCTCGAACTCTCAGAGCTCTGTGGGAGCACAGCTGGAAACCACTGCACTAGTCTGAGCCTCAGATTATACAGATGAGGACAATGAGGACTAAGGAGGGTATTAACCTGCTAAAGGTCACACAGCTTGTTAATAGCAGACAGGGCCTGATTCCAGGTCTTTGATTCCAAGCCTGGGATTCTTGCCACTACACCAGGAGTCATCAAAATGGGCTCCATGGGAGAAAAAAAGGGGAGCTCCAAGGAGGAGTAAGCACTAGGGTTCCCCACCATCATCCAGAGAGAGCTGGTAGAAGGCAACCGATTTCAGCCACAGCACTGGACTTTATCGTT